AGAGAGAGAGAGAGAGAGAGAGAGAGAGAGAGAGAGAGAAAATTACAAGTGACATGCGTACATGATGGAAAGTGCGTATTGACCAGTTCTTGATGTTCGAATAAGAAAAGTACCATCCGGCCTGTCGGCAAGAATACGATCAGCATCAGAACGAGAACATTCCAGATAAAGCCATGTCTTTTCATCGGAATGAACCTCGAGATCTATCTCTTGAAGTTCCCCATACGCCAAATGACCCAACAAAGGATTCGATAACGAATGATTCAGTACGAGTTGACTTATCTTATTTTGCTTCATGCCATTTTTTTTCAACCATCTGTAACACAATACGATATAGATACGTTAAATCTCGTTATCTCGAAATCTGTGAATACTTTCGAACGAGAATAGATTATAAAAATCAATGTACGCACATTAAATGCTTATCCCTTTGTCGTACAAGTTGCAAGAGTTCAGGTTTCAATTTGTGCATCTCTCTTTCTAAAGTTCTGTTATAAGCGATTTGCTCCTTCAAGCTACCGTCCAATTGTTCTCTACTATCTTCTAAAGATTTCAGTCTTCGTTTCAACAATTCTGCATTGTCGGTTAATCTGTACGCGTAAATAAAAAAAATAAATTTTATACAAACGATTTGAAACGCACCGAAACGAAGCTTAATTAATTAATTAATTAATTAATTAATTAGAAACTCACGTTGATATCTCGTGCGGTTGAGCTTCTTTCTGATATTTCTCTTGCAATTTCATCTGATCTTCGAACATTTTGATAGCTTCGGAAAAAGCTTCTAACGCTTGTCGTTTCAATTGTACTTCGAAAGACGTTCTATTGTATAATTCCGAAAGGTCTTTATATTCTTTCAACGCATCGGTTATCTCTTTGTCAAGCTCGATGTATTTTTGGGCAACGTTCGCCATATCTGTTGTACTCGCAATTTCATCATCCTAGTTCAAAATAAAATTCATAGGAAAAATAAATAGATGGAAATCGGATCTTTAAAGCAGCCAAGCCTTAAATTTTTTATAGGAAAAAAATTTTACCTGTTGAAACCGAGATACTGGATACAATAGCTTAATATCTAGCGTCGAATTATATTGCGCCAGAGAACAATTCCTATAATGATCCACCAGCTCGATAACCGAATGAAAGTTATACGGCTCCGAGAAGCCGTATTTTCCGTTCCGTTGACAAATCTTGATAAGCTTGTTGGTCCCACCTTTACGCAATGTCAGTGTGTACTCCCCACCCTTAGAAGACGCATCACGTACCAAGAAAGTACCATCCGGCGAGTCGATCATCTTCTCGTTCACCTCGTCTCTAGTGATGTCTCCCCAATACCATTCAGCCTCTTGAAGCGTGCGTGGTCTTCTCAACGAAACGAGAACATACAGCAAAGTATATATATATATATAGTTCAGAATCAGAAGTACGCCATTCGTACAGGATAAAAATAACAGGTCGTTTACCTGTGGGGTTGCTGTTGCGACTCTTTGCTCTCTGAAACTGACACTGTTCGATCCATAGAATTGTCCTCGTCGAGAACGGAGAACGGATCTAAAACTGGAAACTGCGGCCTTGAAACTTTTCGCGGCGGTAACTGCGGTGGACTTGCAAATTGTGGTAATCTCTCGTTCCAATCACCGTGTAACAGCAACACCTCCACTATTCGTATATGAGCTTCTATATTGTGAACAATTTGTCTGCAAAACGAACGATCCATCATGGAAGAAGAATTGGAAGGAAGGAAATAGTATATCAGAATTACTTCGATCTAAGAAGTGCTTACACGATCCTTTCCCAAGGTGGTCTGACGAAAATATGACACAGCACTTGTATAAGGATGGTAGGGGGTTCTATGTAACCCCTTCCGTGTTGCAATTGACAGATCCGACAAAAATGAGCCATCAAATGAAACAAGGTGCTACGGTGATGTTCTGGAAGTTCCGAGACGAGCTGTCCCAAACGTGCTGCACACTGTTCGTCGTTCTTCATATCTAAACATCAAAAAGTATATAAGTATAAATAGATATATAAGATATACACAGCTTGCAAGTAAATCTTCACGATTTATTGCACAAAGCATTATACAAAGCATTTTATATATTTGTTTATACATATACAATACTCACTGGATGCTTCTATAAATCTATCGTAAAACTGTACAGGGATCACAGGATCTGGCAATTCTCGAAGAAACTTTTTCAAAACGCCCGCTACGCATTGTGCACTATACGAACTTAAATCAGCGTTGCACACATCTGAAAAAAGATCGAGGATCGAACGTGATTTAACGTGAAATCTATTCTATCATCGGCACGGAATCCAGAAATAAATATATAAACTTACCTTCGTTCAATTTTTGTCGCAATTCCAAGGTTTGCTCGTTAGGAGGACTACTGTGATAGACTTTGTACAGATCCAACGTGCTGTCCTCGGATGCCTTCTCCTCCAAGGCACTGGTGCATCGTTCCACCAACAATGGAGCTGGACGCGAGGAGATGTCGAATTGCGAGCACAGGCCAAGACCGAATACTGCAATTGAGAAATTGTTACACTTATATGTTATATGTTACACTTATATATTCGA